CAGGCTGCTCCTTGGAGGCAAGGATTCTGAAACTTCATCTGACATACTTTGGACATATTGCAAGGAGGGACCATTCCTAGGAGAGGGATGTCATGCTTGGGGGAGTGGAGGGAAAGCATAGGAGATGAAGACCCTCAATGAGATGGATTGATTCAGTGACTGGGGTAATGCAGGGGTGTTGAAGACAGTGAGATTGGTACAGGATAGAGCAGGTTTTAGTGCTGTTGTACATAGGATCTCTATGAGTCGCAGGCGGCTCGACGGCACACAACAACAACAATAACAACAACAACATTCCTATAGGTAAGTATAGATGCCTATAATGGCTCTTAAAGGCTGATTGAATAATAACCAGCTTCTGAGAACTACAAACTCCCACACAGACACATATTCATTTTCCCAATAGCTCCATCAACATTATCTCATTTATCAGACATGGGAAGCTGGGGGTATCTTTACAGTCAAGGGAATACCCTCTTCAGTGTTGGAAGCATAAGGGAATACATTTGTTTATGGGTCTGTGGAATTCTCCATGGTACAGTAAGGGAAAGAGATTTGGAGCAGGAAAGGAAGTAAAAGTGCTTATAGGGATAGTGGCAAAGGTTTTGTTAGGTGAAACTTGGACTGCTTAGGAAAATTCTTGTTACTTGAGTTGCTCTCAGCAAATAGGTAAGTTTCAGGGTAAGCTGAAAGAATTAATTTGACCTCTTAACAGAATGTTTTAAGATACAATTATTACTCTTTCTAATTAATTCCAAGTTATTCCTTTCTCTTTTCTTATCTCTTTCTTATGCTTTGAGAATTTCCCCCTTGGAAATAGAATTTGAGGCACTGCCATCAGGTCAGGAGTGATTGTACTTATCTTTAAACTAGGAAGGGATTTCTTCCTCTTTCTCCAAGTCTTTGTTGCCATCATACTTTCAAGTAAGATGAAGGGTAAACATATTCTGTTAAGTCTCATTATTTATACGTGACTTAGAATATACAGAAGCTTTCCTACTATATATGATAAATGAAAGGGTTTAATTTTTGTTTGCTTTGCTGATACATCAGGTAAAATATTTCTTTCCCACATTCTTCTTTAAGCTAATATCTAAAATAAAGTGATGCAACTTGCTGGAACCAGAGGAAAAGAATTAAAACGTGCAATATATTCCCCATATATATTTAGTATGTTTTCTTGATTTTTAATGCAATTAAGCACAAACCTAGATGTAAAAACTACTCAACAAGTTGTAGCTATTTCTAAATACACGTATTGGGTTAGTTTATAAGAAAAAGTAGCCATTATATTACCAAAGGAGAAAAACTGACTTGCTGAAGAAAAATGGACAACAGAGATAAAGAGCTACACAGAGAATTTGGGCTCTAAGATCCCTATCTTCAGAGGATAGAATTGAATATCATCGATTATGAGTACCCTTTATAAATAGTAAAATCTGAAGACTCAATAAATGAATAAAGATTTCTACTAATATTTTACTTTTAGTATTTTTACTTGATTTTCTCTGATCAAGCTACCAAGATTCTATTTCACTGAGTTGTGATTTTCACAGCAAGATTGTATATTTTTAATTCTTTTCCTCCATTTCTCTTCAGTTTTGTTGATAATTAGGTGTTTAACTTGGATAAATTTGTTTTCTTTTTGTAAACCATACTTTCTTTACCAGTAAAATGTGAACTCCATCAACTTTCACCTCTGTAATGTTTTCCCCATCCTTCTTATTTACTATAATTATTTGAAAACTTAGCAAACATTTTAGTTCTCTAAAATAAGTTAAATATATCAAAACAAAAAGAAGACATAGATTTAAAACAACAGCTGTCTTAAAGCAAAGATAGGAAAAGGCTATTTTTATAGAAGTAGGGAAAAAATACACTGACCAAGTTTGGGGAAATCTAAACTAGAAGTTTATAAAAGGTATACTCAAGAAGTTTTTGAAAAGTTGTTTTCTGATTCATCACAAGTGCAGGTCCGCTGGTGGTGTATGTAGATGTGGAGGGAAGAGATGATTTAATGATTTTAGAGAAGAAAACTAATCACCCAATGATTACAAAATATACAGAATAAGCTTTGATTCTTTGCTAAAGGAAGAGAATCTGTTTCACTTTCACCAGCTGCAAAGAAGTCTGACAAACAAAAATAAACAACTCCCCCTAATATTATTATCATCATTGAATAAAAAGGAGAACTTTTTATTCTAAATAATGATAAGAAAAAGCACATATTTTGCTCTCTAAACTCTTTATATTTTGATCTCTTTTACTACTCCTATGACCTCTGATGGCACTGTCTGTAGCACGCTGCATTGTTGACTAAAACACTTTCAACCTCTGGTGGTTCAAATCCATTAGGGGTTCCTCAGGAGAACAATGAGAAGTCTCCTGTCATTAAGATTTACAGTCTTGAAAATCCAAAAGAGGTTCACTAAGTTGGCATCAATTCAATGGCAGTGGCAATGAGTTTGGCTTGATTTGAGTAAAGAAGGAGGTATTATTGTTGCTGCTGTACTCTATATGAAAAATGCTGTACCTGAAGATTAGGGGTGTAATTTAGTCAGAATGCTAGTCAACAACAGATATTAAGTGTGAACATAGAATGAATAGAGTCCATGATTTTAAAATTGACTATCCCCTTAATCAGATTTATTGCAATCAATTGATGAAGATAGTTTACGTGTTTTATTATTAAAAACTTTTTAAAGTTCCATGCGTCCTGATTGCCAACAGTTTCTAAAGTCAAATGAATTTAAAGACAATATGGCCATGTCTTCCAGAGTTTTACTGAGTCCCCTAGGGGGAGGCTTTCAGAGTGCACCATGTTCTATGAAAGATTAGTATGTGAGTTTCTTAGCAGTAGAAGTTTGCCAGATGGCCTTGATCCTATTAAAAGGATTCAGGAGAGCCCTGTACATTTTACTTTCTTTTAAGCAACATTGATTATCCCCCAAAGAACCCTCCTTGTTGATCCAACTTAGATTACAATTGACTACAAATTACAAATATAATACCTTTTATCATTAGAAGAGGCTGTCTGAAGTTCTTAAATAGAAAATAATTCTGAGGTTACACATAGGCTGAAGTGATATGAAAGCTGGTTATGGTGCAACGTAAGGATAGGTATAATACCAGATATTTCTATCTCTGCCTTAGGTACAAGATTTATTGCCTTAATTAGGGTCTTAATCATAAGGATTTTGATAAATGACTTTCTGTTGGAAGAATTAATAATTCATATTTAATATTGAATTTGTTTTATTTATGCCATTGCATTCTGGATCAGAAGTTTTTAATATATTGATTAGAAAATAAGGGGGAAAGACAGAAAAGAAATTTAGCTAATGGATTGGCACTATAGTGTTTCTTTTCATCTTTATTATTATGGTTATTGTCTTTGCTTTAAAGTATATCTGTTAGCTATTTGCTATTCTTCATCTTCTCCCATCAAAAAACATTCCTTTCTGTGGTTACTGTAATGTTTTAACTGTATAAGACTAATTTATACTTAAGGGGGTCATTTTTTCCTGAGAAGTGGATGCGACTGCAAAGAAACCTCTTTGAGTTGCATTTGCAGAGATTTAATCCTTCTTACATTCTCTGCCTTCATGTAAAAAATTAAAAAGGCTACATGCCTAGGGAAGTAATATTCTAATATAATTTTAACCTCTGTCACTGTATCTTTAGGGAACATACCATCAGGATCCCACAACCTCCTTCACAGGTCTATGTCACATTGGCTTCATGGCAGATTTTAACTACTCCCACTTTCAACACCTTTACTTTATCTTAACTGGAATTCCAGGGCTTGAGCAAAAGTATTACTGGATGGCATTCCCATTGGGAGCTATATATTTCATTGCTTTATTTGGTAATGGCATCATTATTGCTACCATCAAGTCTGAGTCATCTCTGCATATCCCTATGTACTACTTTCTGTGTATGCTGGCATTGGCGGACATGGGACTTGCTCTCTGTACTTTACCCTCAATGCTAGGCATATTTTGGTTTAACTACAAGTATATTGCCTTTGATGCCTGCCTAGTTCAAATGTACTTCATCCACACATTCTCTGCTATTGAATCAGGTGTACTGGTAGCCATGGCCTTTGATCGTGTTGTAGCAATCTGGAATCCTCTTAGATACAGCACCATCCTAACCAATGGTGTTGTCTGCAAAACTGGGACTGTAATCTTGACTCGAGCAATCTGTGTGGTCTTTCCAGTGCCATTTCTCATCAAGAGGCTACCTTTCTACCGCTCCAACATCCTCTCCCACTCCTTTTGCCTCCATCAAGATGTCATGCGCCTTGCCTGTGCCAGCACCCGCGTCAACAGTCTCTATGGACTCATTGCTGTCATCTTCACTAAGGGTTCTGACTCCCTTTCCATCCTTCTCTCCTATGTGTTTATACTCAGAACTGTAATGGCTATTGCATCAGGGGAGGGACGGCTGAAGGCACTCAACACTTGTGTTTCACATATTTGTGCTGTACTCATCTTCTATGTGCCACTCATTGGAGTGTCTGTCATTCACCGATTTGGAAAGCATCTTTCCCCACTGACTCATGCCCTGATGGCTAATGCCTACCTACTTGTACCCCCTGTGCTTAACCCCATAGTCTACACTGTGAAAACCAAAGAGATACGAAGGAAGATAATTCAAATATTTGTTCGTACCAAGGTGACTGCAGAGGGTTAATGCCAGCCAATTTGGAAAAAGAATAAACTATTCTGTAAATTCTCAACTATGACTACAAGAAATAAAGTTTTATATTTTTCATATTTTCTGTGTAATTTGATTTTAGCAAAAGAAGATTCCCAGGTTACATACCACACTTTCCCTCTTCTGCATCAAATTGCTCTTTGTCTTATATGCAAATGATGACATCTACAAAAACTTTACAATACAGTGTTATGTAGTCTCAAGTTTCTCCCTTGATAAAGAACTATTGGAAGAAAGGAGTATGATTAATTACATTTTTAATAACTCCTTTAAAAATCCAGATAATAAATTGTCTATCTTTTAGTTCAGGAATTACGAGCACCTTCAATTAGAAACAGGGTATAAGCATAATTAAAATGATATATGGGCCAGAAAAGCAAAAACTTTTAGGATTAAGAAAATTATTATATTTAAAAAAAAGAATATTATTATATTTAGAATAATACAATCAACTATATTGTATAATTTGGGAATGAAGAGTGAAGAAGGAAACTTGACTCTTTCACATGAGGTCTGTGTGTCTGTCACAGTAAACTTCCCTACCCAGTTCATTCACTGTTTTCTTATTTTAAAATATAAGAAGGACATAATGCTTGGGAGAGGGGAGGAACAGTATAGGAGAGGAGTACCCTCGATGAGATGGATAGACTCAGTGACTGGGATAGTGGGTGGGGTTGTGTCAGTGGCAATAAATTTGGCAGAGGATAGAGTTGGGTTCAAAGCTGTTGTATATAGGATCACTATGAGACACAGGTGACTAGACAACACATAACAATAATAACAACATCACTTGATATCCAGTATTGTTGTGAAATGAAACTATAAAGAGCTATGCAACTATGATACATGTTCAAGAATATTCAAAGTACAAAATTTTTTAAAAAACCCACAGATTATCTATTAACAAATGTCAATATTTATTTGGCAATTAGCCAATATCATAAAAAGAGTGTTACTGATTGATTAAAAATGAATATTTTAAAAGCATGAAGCAGTTAATTTGTTGGACAAGGATCATCCAAGTAAATTTTCTGTAGAATTTTGACTAAACTCAACCATTGCTGTCTAGCCAGAATCAAGTCATAGTTGACCCTTCAGCAGCTTTCTGAGATTGTACATCATATAAATGGACATTACTCATCATTCTCCTATGGAGTTGCTGATGGATCCAAACTCCTAGAGAGGCTACACTTTTGGGTTAGCAGTGAAACTCTCTATGGACCACCAAAGCTCCCGAAGAATGTCATCTATTTTGTGGCAAACAGGTGAGACATGTGTGTGTGTGAGTGTATATATATGCACATACGGATGAGTACACAGCCTTTGCTTAGCAATCAACACACCACAGACTATACCACCAGTGTTCCTTATTTCTACCACTAAGGTCGTATTTTCCAACTATTGTGTGTGTTGTGTACCATCCAGTAAGAACTGACGCAGAGCTGATCCTCCAGTGGGTTTTCGTAGGCAGCTAATCACACAAGAGTGCTCATCTTTCTCTGTGGCTAATGGCCTCAAACTGCATGTCTTTGGAATTGCAGTGGAGCTTCTTGCCACTAGGCCACCAGAAATCCCAATTACCATCTTTTTTTTCTCTTTCTTTCCTTTTAGTTATAGTTAATGAAACATGACTGCATGTTTGACCAATTTCAGAACACAGAAGTTGAGACGTCTTCAATCTCTTCTTCTGTTTGAAACAAGAACAGCAATGATCATCCTCAGAAGTAAGGATCTCACATATTTGGGGCCCACTATTAGGAGGAGCCAGTTCCTGAAGAAAGACCTCATGCTTGGTAAAGTAGAATATCAGTGAAAAAGAATACCTTCAACAGGATAGATTGACACTGTGGCTTCAACAATGAGCTCAAGCACATCAACAATCATGAAGATGGTTCAAGATGAGCTAACAATTTGATGTCCCTATGAATTTGAATCAATTTAATAACTACAACAATGGGCAAAATTTTGATCCTTAAGAAAGTTTCAAAACAAAATGAAAAGGATATATCATGTCATTGTACCATGAAGAGAGCTGCTCAATTTCCAATCATTTCAAGAGGTTACATATTGTTGTTGTTGTTAGATTCTATCAAGTTGAGAATGACTCATAGTGACCCTATGAACAACAGTTCTGAATCCTGTCCTATCCTGTGCCATCCTCACACTCCCCAACACATTAAAGCGCATTGTGACAGTCATTGTGTAAATTCACCTGGTCAAAGGTCTTCTCTGCTTCACTGACACTCTATCTTTTCAAGCATCATGCAGCCCTCCAAAGAACAGTCCCTCCTAGCAACATGCCCAATATACATAAAATGAAGCCTCATCATCCATAGAGCACTTTGGCTGTACCCTCTACAGAATATATTTGTTCTTTTGACAGTCCGTGGAATGTTCACTGCTCTTCTCTGACACCTCAGCTCAAAGGCATCAATTCTTTCTCTGTCATCCTTATTCACTGCTGAGCTCTCATAGCAAGTGATCGAAAAGACTATGAGCCTGAAAAAGATACATCTTAGGCTTCAAACGGACATTATTATTTCTCAATAATTTGGAGAGGTCCCTAAATGCAGACTTTTCCAGTGCAGTACAACTCCTGATTTTCTGACTGCTGGTATCAAGAGTGTTAATTGTGGATCCAAGTAAGATGAAGTTGTTAACAGCTTCAGTCTTTTCTCCATCTATCATGATGCTGCTGCCTATTGGTCCAATGATAAGAATCTTATGTAACACCATGAAGAGCTAGTAGATTTTAAAATCATTTGAAGATGTTACATATTATCAAGCACTAATCATATTGAAGAGAAAATTAAAAGTGACACAGAAGGCAATGATGAACAAAAGACTTCAGAAATTAAAAAAAACATTAATCTTTTGATAGTGAAATACACTATTATAAGCACTCAGCCATCTACACCAAGAAATTCTTAAGTGTTTGTGATCTGGCCAAATTACTTAATCCATGTTTATGTTCATTCCAAACACAAATTATGTAACAGAATTTGGAACTTTGAGAACAATGTAATTAATATTATAAGCAAGTAAAATTATGCTACACATCATTCAAAATAAAGACCTGTCATTCAAAGTTAGATTCAGGAGAAAATGTGGAACAAGGAATATAGCTGCTGACATCAAATGAATCTTGGTTGGAGGCAGAGAATACCAGAATAATGATGCTTACCTGTGTCCCACTAACTATGCATAGTCATTTGGCCATGTCACTCTTAACAACATTGTGAAGAATTGAATAACATTGTAGGTAACATTGTAAAGAATGAGAATTTCATAATACTTAATTTTATTCATTTGGAACTTGAGCATAGACTAAGTGACAGTTTGAACAAAATAATAGCATAGTTCTTGGGAACTAAAATTGGGAAATATGTCTTAGAGTTGTATCCTTTCACTATACTTAATCAATCTGAATGCTCTATAGATAAAATATAGTGTCAGGATTGGGAGAATACTCATTTAAACCAGCAAGATACAGATGGCACAATCTTATCAGCTGAAAGGTAAGAGAACTTGAAACACTTAGTGATGAAAATCAAATATGCTAGCCTCAAATCTGTCAGTTTTATTTTAATATTAAGGGAAAAAAATCCCACAACTGAACCAGAAAAATAACATTATGATAGACAGAGAAAAATTAAGTTGTCAATTATTCAAGTTAGATCCAGAGAGGGGAGAGGGGAGAGGGGAGAGAAGGCAGCCATGTTCTTCCTGGTTGGCTCCTCCCAGGGTGTCTGTGACTTCTTTTTGCCAGAGAAGAGTATGGTGGTGAGAGCGCAGGTATTATGGCAAGCTTTTGGAGTCGAATGCTTTTTTTGGGCTTGTGTTCGATGCACAGAACTGCTCTGCTCCCCAGGAGCGAGGCAAGCCAGGCTTGGCCTAGGGTTTCAAAACTACGTGAGTAGCAGTCAATAAACAAGACAACATAAAGCACTGGGCAAATGTGTTGCAAAAGAACTCTTTAAAGTGTCAAAAGGCAATGACAATTCTTAGACACTAAATACATCTTACCAAAGTAGTGGTATTTTCATAATTCTATGATAGTTGGACAATGAATAAGAAAAACTGGAGAAGAATCCTTGCTATTTCAGCATATTGGTGAAAAATAGTGAGCATATTAGACATATTAGACTGCTGAGACAATGAACATACATATCTTAGAGTAAGTGCAGCCAGGAGGTTCCTTAGCAGTAAGAGAAGTGAAACTTCCTTTCTCATACTTTGGACATGATTTCAAGAGGTATCATACACTGTCATTGTTGATTGCAGTCAAGTTCAGGTCGACTCGGTAGCGACTCTGAACAAAAGACCCAATGTCTTTCCATAGCTACCGTTGTTTCTCCAAGTTCATAGAGTTTCCAGAGGCATGTGTTTAGGAAGTGGATGCCACTCTTGCTTCCCAACCTGTTTTACAACTGGCAGTCCCACCAAACACTGTCCACAATGGGAAATAATTATGGTATTTGATATCCCCATAGCACAAGGTTCAGCATCATAGCAAACCCAGGGTACTTCATACGGCACATTGACAAAGAGCGATGCACAAAGTGGAAGAGTGTTTCTCCAGATATAATAGCACTAGTCTCATTTAGCAGTGGTTAAGCGTTGTTGAGTTAAATATGACTCAGAGTAAGCTTTGCACAAAAGCTTCTTGTTCTAGGATTAATTTAATTTCTGTACATTTATAAGAGTTTTTGTAGAGTTTCCAGAGGCAACTTTTTTTTATGTGTTACCGTTCTTTTCCCCCCTCAAAAGTTGGTGGCTCTTGAGCCTTAGACTAAGGGTAAGGGTGGAGGCCTGCTTGAGGGTGTGGCTTTAAGATTGATGATGAGGCATGGGTCTGTGGGCTGGCCTGAGCCTGGGGCCTTGCAGTCTCTTTCCACTCTGGAAGTCGGCTGGTTCACTGGCTGACTGGTATCTTGATGGTGGTCTAGTCTTGATGGCAGTCAGGCAAGGGAAGGTGCTGGGGTCCTTTTTGTTGTGTGTTGTTGATCAAACACTAGAGAAGGGAATTACACTACTTAGTCAAGTATAAAGTAACTGCAAAAAATGGTGTGGGGGCAGTGATGTCTGACTGCCTTTAATGTCGCTAGCTGGATATTCAAAATCAACTGCAACAATCTAAGCCTGATTCCTTAGCAGATGAAACATGTCCTCCTGCTCCAAAAGTTTTTTTTTTTTCAAACTTGACACCAACTCTTTTACCTATGACATTTTGTACTCATTTACTGAATTCAAGAATTCATTGCAGTTGTCATACATATTTAGGGAAGCAACACGCTACAATTCAAGATAAAAAATTATTCAAGGCATAATTTTTTTTGTATCAGATGAGCCTCTATCAGCCTTGTCCAAAAGAAGACCTTTTTCGGGTCCTTGGGCTCATGGCTCTGATCTATGGTCTGCTCAGGCAAGTGTTAAAGAGCTCTTTTATCTCTGCTGGTTAAAAGCCAAGTGACAGACACCCCACTTTGCCAGTAAACCTCACGCTCAAATGTTATAGTAATATTGCTGCAAACCGCAACCCTTTGCACAATGCCTGCAATAAATGAACATAAAGAGACAAACGCACACAGAAGACAAGACAGGACTGCCGCAAAGAAAAACACAGTCACACAGAAAGGACAAGATACCGCAGCCGCATGGCTCCGCGTTTGATGGATTTTTAAAGGGGTCTAAGCAATGATCTCATTTTTTAGGGTTTCCATAGAATCATAATAAACAGTGATCTCATACAGAAACAATAGAGCAAGGGAGAACATCCACTCTGTTCCTTGTGAAAGACGTTGCCTTTGACAAGAAAAGAATCGGGAGATCGAAACGCCTTAAGACATATGATTAATGGGAAGAGAGATCTTAGAGTTCTCAGCCTGTTTGTGGAACAGAGGATAAAGGTTTCTCTTTAATTATTAAACCAGAGAGTTACCTGTTTGCAGGCTGAACTCTCAATAACCCCGAAGCCCACTCACGTGCGAGCTGGGCTTCCAATAATGGGGTCCGGTCCTCCTCACAATATGAGTCAACAAACTGAGGCACCCTAAAAAAACATACTTTTGAATGTTTTTCATCAGCAATTCTCTGAAGTAATTTTTTACTTCTTGGGGTAAGCAGCCCACGCACTGTGTCTGACTCCACTGCCTTCAAAGCTGATGTTTCTCTGGGGCTTCTTTTCCTTAACTCTTGTCTTCTCTGTAATGCTACATACACTTCTGTCTCCTTGCTGGTGGTTGTTGTGTATCACTGAGTTGGAACTGACCCAAAGCAACCCTCCGGTGGGTTTTCAGAGGCAGTTAATAGCGCAGGAGGAGAATGCTCAGCCTTCTCCTTTGGAGCAGCTGGTGGATTCAAACCATGTGCTTCGGTATTGCAGCACAGCTTCTTGCCACTAGGCCACCAGAGCTCCCCTTCTAGAGGAGGCATTTTGAGCAGGACTTGGAATCCACAAGATGCACTATATACTCTTGGGTGTACATTCTTGATACTATTGAAAGACCTATATTCCATCCTTGGAATAATTAATTTTAAACCTTGCAGGACAAAACAACAATATCAACAACAACAAAATGACGAAAACTTTGTCAAATACCTACATTAGCATTCTATAGCTCTTATTTTCAGGATCCAGCATACATTGCTATGGTTCTTATTGTTTGTGGTCCATAACATGCCACAAGCCATTCATATCTACTTTATCTTACTCAGTCATTATTTGCAGCTGTTTATCTTCATTTTGAGTCATTTCAAATAAGTAAATTAGGGTCCTATGTTCACTAAAAGTTCTACTACATACAAGTTCTTTCCATCATATTTTGAGGGCCTTCTAAACTGTAGGCCTCATCTTTAGGTCTTACCAGTCAGAACAAGACTAGGGTCTGACTGTGGAACAGATCATTAATTTAAGTCATAAGAAATGAAAATAAGTCCATAGGAAACAAAACACAAATGTGAGCATATCAGACACAAATTTACAGATCATCTGAGCATATCACACACAAATTTACAGATCATAATGGGAATAAATCTGATACACTGTGGGAAAACATCAAGAATATCATATATAAATAAAGACAAATGTCAGAAGAGGTTGTGAAACTTACTCAAGAATCAGAGAAGTTAAAGGGAAAGTAAGAAATGATCAAGGAAGATTATAGAACAAAAGATCTGAAGTGGAAATTCAAGAAGATAAAGCAAACTATTAAAATGAAATTTGAAAAGGTCTGTAGTTAGACAATAAAAAAGGAAAAGAATATTCAACGTTTTTCAATCTCAAAGAAATATAGAAAGCATGTAAACCTTGAGTTACAATGTGAAGGGATTTATGGGGAAAATACTGAATGATGTAAGACGCTCCCAAAGAAGATAAGAATAATTCACAGAATCACTGTACCAAACATAATTGGTTGATATTCAGTCATTCCAAGAGGTACCATATGATCAAAAATCAATGAATGAAAGAAGCTTCAACTGCATTGAGGGAATTGGGGAAAAAAATTTTTTTTCCACAGAATACAAATTGAAGGTGTTTCAACTAACAGATACAACCTTGGTAGGCTCATTTATATATGCCAAGAAAATATTGAAGAGGTTCATAAGTGTCTCATTAAAAAAAAGAAAAGGTGATTGTACATAATTCAGATCTCATCCAACAATATTAATAATACTACTCCCAAGAAAAACCTTTCTATTGATTCTTCAAAAGTGTATGGAGGTGTACATTGACAGAAAATGTCTAGGAATTCAAAGTGGATTCAGAGGAGACAATGGAACAGTAGATACTATTGTTGACTTCACATAGACCTTGGCTGAGAGAATACCAGAAAGATGCTCCATTGTGTTTTAGAGATTATGCAAAAGCATTTGACCACATGGATCTTAATAAATTATGGCTAACATTAAGATGAATGAGAGTTAAAGAAAATTTAATTATCCTCAAATAGAACCTCTACATGGACTGAGGCATTTATTCAAACAAAATAATTGAGGCGAAAATAGTTTAGAAATATATTTGTTCAACTGGAAACTATGGCACTGAACAGAGTGATAGTGTATAAAAGGTAGAATAGCAATGTAGGACAATATAAATAATCAAACTAGTAATGAGGAGGTTTAAAATTGAGATGATATGAAATTGTATAGATTACCTCAGGGGCTCACTACTCACCTTTCACAAAATGTGGCTTTCCCAAATAAAGTCACACTTAAATATCTATTTATTATATTGTTGTGTGTTGTCAAGTTAGAGCAGGTCTTCAGAGGTAGTTACAAAGATATTCAAACTCAGATCATTTCCAGAGACTGTTAATCATGACTTCTCAAATCATAATGAGTTTAATGATGTAAGAGTGAAGTTGAGTTTAGGAGAAACTTAATTGAACCTGAATACCAGAGGATAAAATGTGGTCCAGAGGTGCGCGGAGGAAATCATCGAGTTTCCCATCTTGAAACTAAATGGTCGGACCATGGAGATTGAGTCTACCTTTCATATGTATGTCCAGCCTGTAGTCCATCCACAGCTTACCCCCTTCTGTACAGAGCTCACCGGGATTATTCAAGCCATGGTGGATGGTCAGCCAAGCCTGCAGCAAGTGCTGGAGAGGGTCGATGAGTGGATGGCGAAGGAAGGCCTCTTAGATCCAAACGTCAAGTCAATTTTTGTCACCTGTGGAGACTGGGACTTGAAAGTCATGCTCCCAGGCCAGTGCCAGTATTTGGGCTTGCCAGTAGCAGATTACTTCAAGCAGTGGATTAATCTGAAAAAGGCTTACAGCTTCGCCATGGGCTGCTGGCCCAAGAATGGACTTCTAGACATGAACAAGGGCCTCAGCCTGCAGCACGTAGGTCGGCCCCACAGTGGCATTGGTCAGTCCCTCTGCATATCCCCCCGGGCAGCTCGATGACTGCAAGAACATTGCCAACATCATGAAGACACTTGCCTATCGAGGTTTCATCTTCAAGCAGACATCTAAGCCATTCTGATTGGCCGAGGACGGGATG